ATCAAAGGCATAGTGGTCTTATGATATTCCGAAAGATTTTATTGACGTACTTCTCATGCATTGCATTCATTTATACATGTACATTGACCCATGACCAGATGGCGTTATATACGCGTATATATGTATATGGGATATGGGAAAATGTTACGGCGTTATATACGCACAACCACCTGATCAGCTGGTATACGTTGATAATTTTTCCACAGTGGCCGAGATGCTATGATGGGATGCCCTTAGAGGCTTGATAATTTTATGAACGCATATACCTATGCATGGTATGCAATTTATACGCATATGCATGACATTATAAATATGAAATGATTCACAGAGTAATTCAAACTTACATGTTGAGTCTTTTAATCTATGTTTCTCTCATGTCTATTACTTACTGATTTTCATTCCTTACATACTCGGTACATTATTTGTACTGACGTCCCTTTTGCCTGGGGACACTGTGTTTCATGCCCCCAGGTCCCGTTAGACAGGTTTAGAGTCCTCCAAGTAGGCTATCAACTCAGCGAAAGGTGTTGGTGCGCTCCATTTGCTTCGGAGTTGCTATTTGGTCAGTATGATTATAACATGTGTTGATTGGTATGGCGGGGCTCTATCCCGACCTTTATGATATTTATGTACTCTTAGAGGCTTGTAGACAGATGTCATGTATATAAAAAATTTTATGGCCTTATCGGCCNTGGGGCTGAGTGTTGGCCTGTTAAGAACTCACATATCCAAAAGATGAAAGTAGCAGAAATGAGGATGTTAAGGTGGATGTGCGGGCACACTAGGATGGACAAGATTAGAAATGCTGATATTCGGGAGAAGGTGAACGTGACTCCCATTGATGACAAGATGCGGGAAGCGAGACTCAGATGGTTCAGACATGTACAGAGGAGAAACCCAGATGCTCCAGTAAGGAGGTGTGAGCGACTGGTTGTGGAGGGCACGAGAAGAGGTAGAGGGCGGCCCAAGAAGTATTGGGGAGAAGTGATCAGGCAGGATATGGCGAGGCTTCAANTACTAGCCATCATTTTTGTTTTGCATTTTTCCTTCTGCATTTTATGTTCCTATTTTTCCTATGTTCTCTGTGGTGAAACTAATATTCTCTCCTATTTTTGTTTTTCTTATTATCTTGAGTCGAGGGTCTTCCGGAAACAACCTCTCTACTCCTTTGAGGTAGGGGTAAGGTCTGCGTACATACTATCCTCCCTAGACCCTACTTGTGAGATTTTACTGGGTTGTTGTTGTTGTTGTTAGATTAACAAAAGATAAGCAAGAGTAAATTTCTAATTGAGCCAATTATGGTTTATTTGGATCTTAAATTTTTTTTTTAACTTTTAGTTTACTCTTTTCGTTTTCGACATAAGTGGCTTAGTTTTGAGATTATAATTTTTGTTTTTACCTTCAAATAGTAAAGAACATGGCACTCAGGGGCGGAGTTATGGGCTGAAAGATTTCACCGGAAAATTATATTGTACATATAAAGTAAAATACAGTTTATAACTTTCTATATTATATTTTGAATCTCATTAACATCCTTCAAAAACATAGCTTAGTGACTTTAGTGACAGTCCCATAACACTTATTCAATAGTTACATTAAATCAAATAATTTAATTGTAATTAAAAATTAAGTGAAAACATATTAATAAATCATAGTTATATAATCAATATGTAAATAAAAATACGTATTTTATATTTATTGATATGATATAAATAACAAAATACGGCTAAACTTTTACCTAGAACACCATTACAGCAGTATGACTAACCAGTGGACTAAATTTTAAGTCACGTGAAAAGTATGAACAAAAAAGTTTGCGTGATAGATAACTCCCAAAATGTTATAACAAAACAAAAAAAAAAATGATTAACCTAAGAAGTAAAAGAGAAAAATGGAATAAAAGTGGCATGTGCACTCCTACTCCAACCATTACTCTTTGCGTCTCAAATTATTTGACATGTTTTTTCTTTTACAGGCCCCTTAAAATAATTAATTAGAAATTTTTTTAGATTATTTTATTATTATTTATGTGTTAATATAGAATCTCTCTTGATTTAACATTTACTCTATTTATGTATTATCTCCATCTTCAAGAACAATTACTAGTAAGGGTAAAATAAAAATAAAAATAATTAATTTTGTCTTGAACTCCTAAAATGACAAATAATTTGAAATATTTATTTTTAAAAATCACGACTAAAAATTTAAGATGGAGGGAGTATTATTTTTTCGGTATTTCCTCTTTTTGGTTGGCTATATAATTTTTTTTTTGTCTTAATCTGCAGCTATTTTTGGAGCAACATGCACTTCAATTATTTTAATTTATTATCTAAATTATTGGGGTTGCTAGTGGAGTAGATGAAGAAAGAGTACAACAATATGATCTTTAATTTCAACTTTTTTTGATTTTTTAAAATTACAATCTAAAGTAGTATAACTTTAGTTCTTTGACTCAGTAACTTTTATTTAAATATGAATAAACGATGACAGATGCACGTGTAATGAAACAGAGAGTACATCCAAACAATAATACTGTAGCAAAAAGTAAAATTAGTACTCCACTAACTTTAATTAAAAAAGGATAATGGACACGTATGAGGGATTAAAGATAGAGTTATCAACTAAACAATAATCAAGTTATTTATATAATTATAATAAATTTATAAATATTATTTAGTTATCAAATAAATGATAATTAATATATCATCACATATATTAATATGTTTAAAGACCATCACATAAATCATTAACCTACTACATTAATAGTGTGATTTTTCTTTTCTTTTTTACAATTTTAGTGCACATGACCAAAATCGAGGAAACCTTAGTACCTTGTGAAATTCAAGAAAATATTCTCTCGTTCAATGATTATAAGCTTTTCCCTTCGTCATCCCTTCGTCATCCCTTCGTCATAAGTCAAAAAAGATATCTTTCATATTGAAAATTTAAAATTTATCATGCATCATTTCTAATTTTTAAAAAATGATTATATTTCATAATACTGGAAGTAAGTTGAATTGGCACTCGAAAGTTTAAAAAAAAGGCGTATAATACTCATAGGCGAATTTAGAATTTTTAGTTTATGAGTTCAGGCTATAATTTATTTACTTATTGAGTTCTAGATAAATTATTTTTACACATCCAAAGAATTTTTTAACACAAATATTAGGTTTGAGCCAAAGCTACTGCCCATAATAGTACTTTGTATAATAAACTTATGTAATTTCCAGAGTTTTGTGAATTATCAATCAATTATAAAAGTATTGGAATATCCAAAGGATTAAAACTTTACTTGAATTTTGCAGGAGAAAATACACCAATCCAGTCATCATTTGTGGGCTTTGCATTCTTGAGGTTTATTGTAACCCATTCAACATCTTCACCCTGTAATCATCCAAAATTTGCATATTATAAATCCACTGACAAAAAGGGAAAAAATGAGGAAGAAAGTATTGAATAATAAGAATATTTTCTAACATTAATACCTTATCCAATATCTTTGTCGAAATATCTAGCATTAAATTTAAAGAAACTTTATGCAGTTTTAAAAGTTTATGTTACTTAAAAAGGATAAACAAGAAAGTTAGTAAAGTTTCCAAAATGACACATATTATAAATTTTCTAGCAAAATTATTTGTAGATTTGAAATTCAATAATCATACTAAATTTTCAATTATAAATAATAAATTAGAATCCTGAAAAATTAGAAGGTGTTAACTTACAATTTCAAGTAAGTCGAGATCAGCTATATGGACATAAAAATTATAATTTTTTGAAAAAATTAGTATTTGGAGTTAAGTTAAAAAATAGTATTTGGTATGTTTGAATATGCATTTCACTTGAAAAAATATTTCAAAATCTACGAACAAACGGTCCTAAAATCTTGAACACCCCTTAATATGTTCAGTGAAATTTCTAGTTTAACCTCTGCTTCAATCCAACATTTTTAAGAGGTGGAAAAAAAAAACAGAGAAAAACAAGAAAATAGTGGAGCTGCAGAATGTGAAAATTACCGTAGAGCCGAGAAGAGAAGATCCAGCAACTTTAATGGAGGCAGATTTACGTAGAGCAAGAACAGTTTTGTGTATTTGAACTCTTGACAATGGCTGTTCCCCTTGGCTAAGGTCATGTTCATGGCGTCCCAAACGAATATATTCGTAGTTATCACCTAAAACAATATTATTCAAAGCCAGCAGCCAAAGTAATAAGTAGAATTTGTTCCTCATTTTTCTCCCTAATTCACTTTCTTTTGTGAGAGGAGGCGACGCAGGAATAGGTGAGTGGAATATATTTACACTTTATAGACATACAAGAAAGAGAGGGAGAGGAAGATTGAATCACATGAATAATTAAATAGTATGAAATTAGGATTTTCACTTGGGGGTTTAAAATATAAGGAAATAAATATAGAGAAAAGTTGTGGGGTTTCAACATTTAGTATATATACATAATAAATAATTTTGATCTTGTATATACAATATAATTTTTAGATGATGTGCATGTGAACCCCTTGCGCTCCTAGCTCCGCCCCTATGCACAGTAACAACAAAAAGAAATTTTACACGTTTAATATATTTTAACCTGTTATAATACGTTTCTTGTCTTATTTTCTAGAATATTAATCCTAATTTTTATGAACAATTTCTTATAATCGTTTTCAGGTGACTTGATGATATAACAATTATTATACACTGTAAGCATATAAAAATTAAACGAATGAATAATTGATGGTTGTTATGAAATAAAAGCAATTTAGTAAAGCATGAACAAGAAATAAAAGCAATTTAGTAAAGCATGAACAAGAAATAAAAACAACTTAGTAAAACATGAACAAGAATAGAGATAGAGAGAATGAAAAGATTTTCTTCTTCAATTGTGTGTATTTTCCTATCTATTACAAGGCCTTTATATAGACATGAAAAGTGAAGAAAATATGTCATGGAATATGTCATTGAACATAGAAAATATGTCATTGAATATGTCATTAACCATTTGAGAGAAAGATCATGGAGGAAGAGTAGACATCCACCATATTTTGATTTTTATCATAACACTCCCCCTTGGATGTCCATAAATAATGTGCCTCGTTAAAACCTTATTAGAAAAAAACCCTATGGGAAAAAAATCCTAATGTAGGAAAAAGAGTACACATATTTAGAAATACGCCTTTTGGTTGCCTCGTTAAAAACCTTGCAAGGAAAACCCAATGGGACAAAACCTTGTAAGGGAAAAAGAGTACAACGCGTATTAACTCCCCCTGATGAGATCATCAGTTCACATCGTTGAGCCTTCGTATCCCAATCTTGTACACTAGTTTCTTGAAGGTTGACGCCGGTAGATATTTGGTGAACAAATCAGCCATATTATCACTTGAAAGGTCCGTTGCACATTAATATCACCATTCTTTTGAAGATCATGTGTGAACAATAATTTAGGTGAAATGTGCTTTATCCTAACTCCTTTATGAATCCTCCCTTTAATTGGGCTATGCATGTTGTATTTTCTTCATACAAAACTGCGGGTAGTTTATCACACTTCAAACCACATTTGTCTCGAATAAGATGCATAGTAGACCTCAACCATACACATTCTCGACTTGCTTCATGAATAGCAATTATCTCAGCATGATTAAAAGAAGTAGCCACGATTGATTGCTTAGTCGATCGGCAAGATATGACAGTGCCACACATGTAAACACATAACATGTTTGAGATCAAGCCTTGTGTGTGTCAGATAAATACCCCACATCGACATAACCAATAAGATCAGTATTGCAATCATTGCCATAAAATAAGCCCACACCGGTAATCCCCTTTAGATAACGCAATATGTGCTTGATTTCATTCCAATTTCTCCTTAAGCGGAGCTATATCTTGCTAAGACATTAACTGAAAAAGTTATGTCATGCCTTGTAGTGTTAGCAAGATATATTAGCGCACCAATTGCATTAAGATATGGTACTTTAGGACCAAGAAGCTCTTCATTATTTTCATGAGGTCAGAGTGGATCTTTATTTATATCGAGTAATCTCACAACCATCGGGGTACTTAATGGATGTGTTTTATCCACATAGAAGCTCTTTAAAATCTTTTTAGTGTATGCTGATTGAAGGACAAAAATTCCATCTTTCATATATTCAATTTGTAGACCAAGACAAAATTTTGTCTTTCCAAGATCTTTCATTTCAAATTCTTTAAACAGTCTACTGCTTTAGGAAGTTCTCTGGGAGTTCTAATGATATTTGAATCATCAACATACATG